GCCGCTGCTCCCCCCCCCCGGCCTCACCTGGAGATGCTCCTGGAACCGGATGGGCAGGATTTGAGCCATGGCGCCGGAGGCGTTGTTGGGGTTTGGCGGCTCCAGCCCGACGTCGGGGGTCGGGGAGCTTTTCCTCTCCGAGTCAGAAGGGGGGGAAAAAAGAAAGCGAGAAGGACGGAGCCTGCGAGACGGACGCCGGGCAGCCGGTGACGGAGGCCGCGGGAGAGGGAAGGAGGGAGCCTCTTAATGGCGGGGGAGGAAGAGACGGCGGGAGGCCCCGGCAGAGCAATCCGGAAACAGCCCCCGCTCGGCGGAAGGATACCGCGTCCTCCCTCGCCTCACAGGGCCGCGCGCTAAATAGCCCCTTCCGCCGCCTCACCTGCCGCCGAATAAGCGCGGCGGCAGCGGAGGGATCGCGCGCAAAGGCGAACGCATGCAGAGAAGTAGCGCCGTGTGGTTGTCAATGGGAGCGGCGGAAGGATACTTCAGCGGAACGGGACTTTACTCTCCTTTTACAGTCCCCGCCTCCATCCGCGCTCAGGCCCTTCTCCTTTTTTTTTGCCACATCATGCGACCTGGGTGGGGTGACGTCACTTCCGTTCCGGACTCCCCTCCCTACCTGGGCGCCGGTCCCCGTGTCACATGATAGGACGAGGGGAAGGTTTCCCTGCGAAGGAAGTCCACCTGGCCCCTCCTTTCGGGGGATTTGGACGGGGACCCTGCGGCCGAGCGCGTTAACGCGGCCCGCTTAAAGGGAAATACATAACATGCTCGCGTGGCAGGTTCGAAACCCCGCGGTGGCACGGCAAGGCCGAGTGACCTTGAGGATATAACCTTGGATTGACAGCCTAGGGAAACTCACCAGTAGAGTAATACATCATCCTCCCCTTTCCAGCCATCCACCTACTACTCAGGTACACCGCCTCTGAGCACTGGAGGGTTGTTCCCACCATGGCTAATGGGATTAAAAGTACAGCCACTATGGCAGGCCAGGTCATGACAGAAATTATCACAGTGCCTCTGACCATGTAGGTTTAATTTTTATAACTGGTAAGAACTGCAGAACAAAGTTTGAGTCCAGTGGCACCTTTAAGACCAACAAAGTTTTATTTTTCACATTTTTTTTTATTTGAGGTGTAACCTTTCATGCTGCTTCAGACCAACACGGCTACCCACCTGAATTTTTCTGATAAGAACTGCCTTGCTGAATAGAGCAAAAGTCTTGTTGTCTAACGCAGCCTTGAGTTTCCAGCAGTGAGCACACAGATAGCTAATTGGTGGTTTGGCCTCAACTTCTGGAACTGCAAAGGGTATGAATCCCCCACCCAGACCCTCATCACTGTCTCCAAAGAGGCTTCTGGGAACTCAACTGCATTTATTTGCAAAAGATACTACAATTGGGGGGGGGGGACTTAAAAGCATCAGAAGAAGAAGAGATTGGATTTATACCCCGCCCTTCACTTGGAGTCTCAGAGCGGCTTACAAACTCCTTTCCCTCCCCCTCCCCACAACAGACACCCTGTGAGGTGGGTGGGGCTGAGAGAACTCTGACACAAACAGCTCTTTTTCAAGGACAGCTGTGCCAGAGCTTGTGACTGACCCAAGGTCACATCAGCAGGTGCATTTAATTTTTAAAATGTGATTCTACACACAGAGATATTCAGCTTCTTGATATTTTGTGTCTCCTAGAGAATGAAAAAGTATTCAGCTAAACCAAGTTCCTTGAAAATAAAATCCATTGCACTCAATAGGACATTTTCATATCTCAGCTCAGGTTTCCAATCCCTTTGAAAACAGCTGGACTTACTCCTTAGTAAGGGTGCAAAGGGTGTGGCTGTAAAAGGCCAGATGAAATACACTCACTGGAGAGACAGATCTGTTTAATTTTTGTTCTCAGATTTTTAGGCCTGGCATCTTGCTAATAATGCTGGATGTTTTTAGTTTTGTGACATCATTTTTAAATGCATTGTTTATCATTTACGGTAGCTCCTCCAGTATACAGAGCAAGTATGTACAGCAACAACAAAATGAGACAGCTGTCTAACCCAAAGGGCTTACAATCTGGACTTAAATATGAGGGTCAGAGGTTAAGAAATGAGGAACCTAAGCAGATACTGTTGCATGTAAATATATACCAAATTTACTCATGTGATATTCATTTAATATGCTTACTATTTTATTGCTCAGTGTTTTACTACAATTTATGTTTGCTTATTTTTATTTATTACAATATTTACATTCCAACTTTCCTTGTCATTCAAGGTGGCTTACAATAGAGTTAAAAACATTTTCAGTTAAACCATAATAAAATAACAACCCCAAATCTGAACAGATGTTAAAATAAATACTGTAGGACTTTTTAACTTAAAAAAAGTAGTTGCATGGAAAAAAACTGAATTGGATATAAGCTCCTCTGGATATTCTTTGAAATACATGGTTATAACATTCATTTGTCTAAGACTGTTTATGTATCTATCCTATGTTTCTAACCTACATCACAACAGAAGCATCACTATGATGCACCACTTATGTAGCCAACTAAATTTCTGGATCCTCTTCGTACAGACCTTGTGTGCTATACAGATTAAAAAGGGGAATGAAGTCTCCAAGCATTTGCTGAATATTTACAGTAACTTCAACGGAAAACAGAAAAAGCTGTGAACTTGGTATGATTGTCAAGGGACAACCTGTTAGTAGACAACTGGGCTAGCTCTAGCAGGTGACAAAGTTACATTAGCCACAGCCCTGCTTGTGGATTTACTAACCCAAACAAACCTTCAGGCAGCCAAGATAAGGGGCCTGCGAGAACTCTGGCTTGGCACAGCAGGTCAAAGAGGCACCCCATTAATAATTCTTTTAAATTCTGGAGCCAGCTTTGGGGGTCAGCCAAGACTGGTCTCAGCCCCTCCCAGAAGCATTCGCTACATGAGTAACGCAAACAAAAAGCTCAGGTTGAGCTGCCAGATCTTTGTAGCAAATCTCAAAAAAACCCCAAAACCCATCCATTTTTAAGACAGAGGGAATATTCAGTTCAAGAGTACTTGATGGGGTGTGTCACACACCCTAGCACCATGAAGAAAGACCACCAAGAAGGTAATGTAGCAGCATGTCATGCTTCCTCCAAGGAAACATCCACAGATGTATAATATAGAAACAACTATCAGTATTAAAATACATACTTTTAAAAGTAACTGATTTGAAGTTACAAAATACATCAGGGTTTGTTTATGCAACTCTCTCACCTAATCACAGGAGAAGCCGGCCATATATTCCAGAAGGGGACTACTTTTTTGAAAAGACTGAACATTCTTATATTGGTATTTCAGGGCCCTCTTCTAGAACAACAACCTGCAGAGTCACACACAGTTAGAGGGACGGTGATGACAGGTGGAACTCATTTTGTTTGGGGCAGCGACTGCAAGATGTTTTTAGGTATCTTTGGAGTTCACTGAGTGCCTTAGGGCCTAGCCTGTCCCATAAGGACAAAGGGGTGGACACAGCAAAGTTTACTTCAACCTGGCCAGCCTCAGCCCTCAGAACCTTCAGGGATGTGCAGGTTCACAGACTTCCCATCCTATATATAGTGCCATAGCTCCACTGTCCCCCTCAAGATCAGGAGATGGCTCTAGCCTGATTCACACATGCAAGAGAATGAGATGGCAGAATGGGTCACACCACTTCAGACTGCAGGTGGGAGATTCCAGGATCTGAATGTTCCTTCGCATAAGAAACTCCATGCAAACAGAAAGCACAGGAGGAAGAACAGTTCTACTCCCCCCACACACACACCTTTGCTTGCTGAGCTGCTTTTCTACTAGCAGGGAGTTTACAAAGAGAGGTCTTCCAAAACGTGACTTTCTACCCACAGGCCGTTATTTCGCTTCATTTCCCATGCATGTGTGCAAAGCAAATTTGCCTGTGTCATGGCTTCCTCTCTCTAAACCTTTAGCAGCGCTGCTTCTGCCTCCCACGCATGCAGCTGTCTGCCCCCTATTCTGCAGCATTCAGTCAGAGGAACCCCTGCAGAGATGTCTCAATCACGGGACAATCCTGTTCAAGGAAAGCCAAGTCACCCGACAGCAGGTACCACCCACTTCTCCAAGCCACCTCCTAACCTGGCTCTGTGCCCAACAGGAGGAAGAAGAGGAGGACAGCACACATTCACCCACATCCATGGGGAAATCCGATGACAAGCACTGTCATTTAGGTTTTTTAACTGCTGGGTTCCTATCCTGAGCACACCAACCAGGACCCAGAGACTGCTAGCTAGTTTCCTTCCAAGGGGTGCCTGATTCCTGCATTCTCTGTCGCTTCCTCTCCAGGTACCGTGTGCGAGCATCCAGTATTGACTGATCGTCGTTTCTTCTCTCCATCTTCGTCCCAGATTTGCTTGTCGCGCTTTCTAGAGGCAAGAGACCCGCCCCCCAATATCAACAGTCAATACCACAAAACATAGCAACTGCGTTTAGAAAGTCAAACTTTTTGTCATACAGTTGTGGCTTCATGCTTCCCCTCCACCTACCCCAAGCAAGACCAGAGGAGCAGAGGGGACCGAGGACACCTCTCCCCTCCCCCAGCCCCTTCCCAGACTTCTCCTCCCCGGCATTCTTCCTCTCTGGGTCCAGGTCTCACCACTTCCTGTGGAGCTACAGCATTCGGATTGCTTCAGCCAGCTTCTGACAGTTCACTCAAGCCCTCATGATCCTACTACATTCCAGTCTCCATTTTCATTCCAGGCTTGCCTTGGAACTGCGTCACTTTGTTTTAGTGATACCATTTAGCAGGGGTCATTTCCTGCAGGAGCGCACAGGAGCAGAGAGCCCAGGGGGCGGGCACATGCAACAAGCCCCACCCCCTGCTCCCAGCAGCCCTCCGTCAGAGCAAGAAGCAGCCAGGTAAGTTGCAGAGCTCCCCCCCCCCGGTCCAAAACAGTCCAGTGGCACCTTTAAGACCAAGTTTTATTCAGGTACAAGCTCTCCCTCCTCTGCGAGGACAGATCTGCACATTCCCCCCCCCCCAATAGCTAGCAATCCAAAACAGTCCAGTAGATCATGAGCGGTGGGTGTTGCCTTCTGACACGCTTCTGGTGATGTCAGGGGGTGTGGCATATGCAAATGAGTTATGCTAATGAGTTATTGAGCTCCTGCACCTCTTTTTCTATGAAATGACCCCTGCCCTTTAGAAGTGTGAGTTGGTGGGTGGGTAGCCGTGAGCCTCTCCTCCATTCCCCTTCCCTTATGCCAACGGGTTTCTTTAGGAGAGAAGTGAGAGGAGGCAGAAGACAGGTTTCACCCTTACACTTATCTTCCCGAGAGTGAATCTGAACCCAGCTAAGAAGCAGGCCTCGTTCACACTGACACATGCCTAGTATCCATGCGCCTTCTCTGGCAACAAAAAAACAAAAACAGAGAAACAGGCACCGGGTAGGCCCTTCTGTCGGTGGGTACTGAGCATTCACGGGAAACTTCAATTTTTAAATTTGTTCTTTTCTTGAGGAAAAATCCTTCAATTCTTCAAAACTGTATGCCAATTTTTTTGGAAATTCCCCCTTCCAGGATTATCTAAGCTCTTGGGGCATGAGGAGATTAAGCGTGGAGAGAGCCCACGTTGTGTAGGGGTCATATGATATGGCATGGTGGCACAGAATCTGGGAGATCCAGATTCAAATCCTCACTCTGCTATGGAAGTTCACTAGGTGACCTTGGGCCAATCTCCCTCCCTCAGCCTGACCTACCTCACAAGGTGGTTTTGAGGACAAAATACAGGAAGGTGCCATCAAGCAGCAGCTGACTTACGTTGGCTCCGTAGGGTTTTCAAGGCAAGATATGAGCAGAGATGGCCTGCCATTGCCTGCCTTGGCATAGGAAAACCTAGACTTCCTGGGTGGTCTCCCATCCAAGCACTAAACAGGGCCACTCCTGCATAGCTTCTGAGAGCTGATGAGACTGGGCTAGCCTGGACCAACAGATATCTAAAGCAAGTACATTTCTTCTTCCCCCTCTTTTCTCTTACAAGTGACTCTCAGCTACTTTCAAGATTCCAGCCCTTCTGAGGCATGCTGAATCACTATCAGGCCATTTTTGAAAAGGTCTCCTCCTTTTTTTCTTTTCGTTAACTTGCGAAACCATATTTTCCTGCACTGCCGGAGAGTTCCTCAGCAGGGACATGTGCAGTTGTCGGTACGGAGCCAGGCTTTGCTTTGCTTTTTTTGTCATGCAAAGGAAGACAGGCCAGTTGACTCCTAGACACTGGGGTGATGGAAGTCCCAGCTTGCTTCACTCACCGTTTTGCCTCGCGAGGTCCTCTTTCCGCCTCCAGTGGGCCAGCTCGTCCTCGGTCACTTCCTCCCGCGCCACGCTGCTCAGCTCGTAAGCGTCGATTTGGTGAAGCCTGGGCAGGAGGTCCTGGACCCACTCGTAGCGGACAGGACACACCGTCCTCACGTACACCTTGGAGGTCACAAAGACGTCGTGGAAGATGAGCCACTCCAGCTGGGCCTCCTGATCGTGGAGCTTAAAAAAATTACAACACATATTGAAAACCGTCAGGCTGTTGACTCGGCAGAAGATCTGGACAGCGAGATGCAAAAAGGTGTGCCACGCTGAGAATCGCACCGCCTTATGTAGGGCCATGTGTTCTACTCTATGCTAGTGGTCTCCAGACTTCCAAAGGATCCACACGTACTTGGCTATCAAGGAATCTTTGCATGTCTCCCATGGTATCGCTGTGTGCTGCAAAGGATTCTGGGACAAGTTCCAGGATACGCCTTCAGCTCCTGTGGAGCACTGGCCAAGACTGCTGAGGCTCACTGTTGCCCCTCTCGAACGGAAAGTATGACTCAGAATGGCTCCCACCTTCCATACCCTGCACAGTCAAGATGTGCAACAGTAGGGCCTACTGCCATTCAGGGAAAGTTGTCCACCACGACTGACGGCAGTCAATGAAGAAGAAGAAGAGATTGGATTTATACCCCACCCTTCACTACCCAAAGGTGTCTCAGAGCTGCTTACAAACTCCTTTCCTTCCCCTCCCCACAACAGATACCCTGTGAGGTAGGTGAGGCTGAGAGAGCTCTGACAGAAACTGCTCTTTTTCTAGAACAGCTCTTATCAGAACTACGGCTTGCCCAAGGCCATCCAGCCAGGTGCAAGTGGAGGAGTGGGGGATCAAACCCGGTTCTCCCAGCTTAGAGTCCACACACTTAACCACTACACCAAACTGAACCCATGATCAGCTTCCAAGAAACCCTCCAGTTCAGGGGTCCGCAAGGTTTTTGAGCCAGTGGGCACCTTTGGAATTCTTACATGGGATGGTGGGCATACCCCAAAATGGCTGCCACAACAGCAGAGCCAACCACATGTCAGAGAGTAAAGTTAGGCATAACTCTAACAGTAACTGAACAAAATCTGAATCCAGTGGCACCTTTAAGACCAACAAAGTTTTATTCAAGGTATAAGCTTTCGTGTGCATGCACACTTCACTTCATCAGATACAGTGAAACAAGATGTCCTCAACCATTACATATAGGTGGGGGGGTAGTTGCCAGGAAGGGCTAGTTAGAGTCAAGATGCATCAGTAACTGTGCCAGGAAGGGCAAGTTAGAGTCAAGATGCATCAGTGTGTGATTATAGCTGAGATTTGATTAAAGTGGTTGGTAAGAACTGTGAATAGCAGCAAATTAGCATACAAATATGTAGGGACAGTTTTCTCTGTGAGGCAAGCCCGGAGTTCACTGCTCCCGTAGGGAAATTGGGAACCAGAGTGCAGGGTGCACAAGGTGAATATCTGCTGAGCGATGAGCTCATCGTGAGAAGATATACTTGGCAGAGAGTCGGGAGAGATAAGACAGTGAGGCTGTCTGCACAACACATTCCTGTTGTTATAGCTCACAGTAGTAGTGCTTGTAACTTTCCATATGCATGGAAGGGGGGGAAGGGGGGAAGCGATTCTTAATAAAAAGGCTGCGGAGTGAGAGAGTTTCAGACAGCTTCTGCAGATGTTTGTCTCGTGTCTTCTTTGAACCCTTCAACCTTCACAAATACAAGAGTTAACAAACATGTGAGAACTGAGCTTGAGTCCAATGGCACCTCCAAGACCAACAAAGTTCAATTATGGGTAAAAGCAAGAACTGAGAGACTTAGCATGTGTAGATGCACACCTCTTAGATACATTGAAACAGGTTTCCTCAAGCGTTACATATAGATAGAGGGGGAGGGGTTATTTGCCAGGAAGGGCTAATTAAAGTCAAGATAACTGAGCAATAAATACAGCTAAGATTGGAATAATGCATTCAATAAGACCTGTGTGCATAGCAGCCAATTGGCATACAGATAATAAAAGAGTTAACCAACAGATGTGAGAACTAAGTTTGAGTCCACTGGCACCTTTAAGACCAACAAAGTTTAATTCTGCCTATAAGCGAGAACTGAGTGACTTAGCATGTGTTGTGCGATAAGAATCCCGTATCTCTGTTAAGCCCTGGGGGCTACCCAACTGAATCTAACAGTATCTGTTCAATGCTTCAAGCCAAAGCTCTGCTTAACAGGATCCTTTTAAAAATGAACTTATTGTTCATTTCCTGCCTTTCACACAACAAGTTATGTTCAGTCACAAAGTGAAGATTTTGGTGCTCTGATGACAGCTGCTGCCAAAGAAATGTCTGCTTTGAATCAGCACAGACAATTGGTTCTTCAATGCACCTGGCCCCACCCACTTGCTAGAAAAGGAGTCAGTGAGCACCCCGGTGTCCCCAGGCACCACATTAGGGGCCCCTGTTCCAGTCCCAGCAGAACACAGTTTGAAGACTGCTGCTCTACACTGCAGAGAGGTGCCAGGGATTGAACCGGGGACCTTATGGATGCAAAGCAGGTGCTAGACCACTGAGTTCTGCCCCCCCCCCCGAAGTTAAGATCCCTGTTGGATAAGAAGTCAAAGAGTGCAACAAGTGTGCTCAATGCTTTTTCTCTCCTGCTAAAAAGGCCAGCCATTCAACCTCAGCTATTAACAGAAGGCAGTATCTTACCACCGACGAAGGGTGAATGTGGACTATACTGCCGTGGCCATCCATGGTGCAGAACGACTTTCCTACGGACCTAGAGGGAGATGCAAAGGGAGACAGTGACGTTACAGGCCTGCTTGCATCCCAACCTAAAAGCGTGACCAACACCTGTTGACCGACCACTCCCACCTGGGCACTGTTGTCCTGCGAGTGATGTGCCCTTACCTTCGGGCAACGTTGGCAAAATAGCCGGCACAAAGGCATCGTCTCAGGAGCTCAGTTCTGGCGCCGTCAAAATGTTCTCTTGGGAAGTCTGGCAGCTATGAAAAGAATGTGTGGGTTACTGAATTTTTAAAAAAATTAAAAAGAACCTGTATAAAGAGAAGAGGAGGAGGAGACTGGATTTATACCCCACCCTTCACTACCCAAAGGAGTCTCAGAGTGGCTTACAAACTCCTTTTCCTTCCCCTCCCCACAACAGACACTCTGTGAGGTAGGTGGGGCTGAGAGAGCTCTGACAGAAGCTGCTGTTTTTCAAGAACGGCTGTGCCAGAACTATGGCTTGCCCAAGGTCATCCAGCAGGTGCAAGTGGAGGAGTGGGTAATCAAACCCAGTTCGGTGTAGTGGTTAAGTGCGCGGACTCTAATCTGGGAAAACCGGGTTTGATTCCCCACTCCTCCACTTGCACCTGGCTGCATGACCTTGGGCAAGCCATAGTTCTGATAAGAGCTGTTCTTGAAAAAGAGCCGTTTCTGTCAAGAGCTCTCTCAGCCCCACCTACCTCACAGGGTGTCTGTTGTGGGGAGGGAAGGGAAAAGAGTTTGTAAGCCACTCTGAGACACCTTTGGGTAGTGAAGGGCGGGGTATAAATCCAATCTCTTCTTCTTCTTCTTCCCATATTAGAGTCTGCACACCTAACCACTACACCAACCTGGCTGTGCTGGATCTCAACAAGGGCCCATTTAGACGAGGCTTCTGTCTCCAAGAGTGGCCACCCTGACGCTTGTAGAATTCCCAAGAAGAGCATGAGGCCCATGGTGTTTGCCCATTGTTAATCCCAAGCAGCTGGAGCTCAGAGGTAGACTGCATCGGAACATGGAAGTTCCATCTAGCTGCCATGACTCACAGCCATTTTTTTGTATTTTTTATGCATGCACATTAGTGTGTGTGCCCCTGGAAATCATGGCGACCTCTGGTGATTGACCCCTACTGGGGGCCTGGAGGCAGTGTTTCCTCTAAGCCGAGTTAGTGTGAGGTAGCTCACAGTTCTTTTAGCCTTCGGCTCACACATTTCTGTCTTAGCTCAGGAAGGATGGCTCCAGAGCAAACTAAGTTCATGCAGTAGCCAAATCGTTCACCCTTTTAAACAAACACCATGAACTAATACTAAGTCAGCACTGATTTGTTGTTGTTGTCTAGTCACAACCAACTTATGGCGACCTGTAGGAGTTTCAAGGCAAAAGAGGTTCAGAGGTGGTCTGTCTCTATATAGCGACCCTGGAATTCCTTGGTGTTTTCCCGTCCAAATATTGACCTACTTCACTTTCAAGGTGTGACAAGATGGGACTGCCTGGGCTATCCAGGTCAGGGCAACCCGTAGCCACTGACAGGGTCCATGAACGTGTCTCATCCGGATCTAGACTAGTGGTCATTACCACATCCAACCCCACTGTAATAACTGCCCACCACCTTAAGCCCCAAAAGCTCTTATCTCTCCCTCTGTTATTATACCATGCGCCTTCTAAAAGGAGCTCAAAGAGAGAACCATGGTTCTCCCCTTCTCCATTTTAACCTTATGATAACCCTGTGAGGTAGGCTTGATTCATGAAGAGCATGCCACAGGAATTCACTGCCACAGGAGGTGGTGGCAACTACAAACATAGATGGCTGCAAGAGGGAATTAGATAAGCATATGGAGCAGAGGTCCATCGGTGGATATTAGCCACAAGGTATAGATAGGAACTCTCGGTCTGGGGCAAGGGATGCTCTGTCTTCTTGGTGCTTGGGGGGGGGGGTCAACAGTGGGAGGGCTCTTAGTGTCCTGGCCCCACTGCTGGACCTCCTGATGGCACCTGGTATTTTTAGTCACTGTGTGACAGAGTGTCGGACTGGATGGGCCATTGGCCTGATCCAACATTGGCTTCTCTTATGTTCTTATGTTTTCTTAAGAGCAACTGGCCTGAGACCACCCGGTGAGCTTCGTGCCCATGTGGAGATCTGAACCCAGATCTCTTCCCACCCTAACACCAGAGCAATGCCACTGAAGAGACACCCATAGACCACCATACTCGAGAAGCACGCGGTTCAAATAAAGAGTTGAGAGGGGGGCACCTTGGAGACCTGGGTTTTTGTTTTTTTTTTAATAGCCCTGGCTATAACATCCTTTGGCATGGGCTAAAGTACAAACACCGCAACCTTCACCGAGGGCAAATGTTTCCTCACCTGCTTAAGTTTACCGGCAATCTCCCGAAGCTGCTGTTCCACACTGAATGCTAGTTTCACCGCTCTCCAGTGGATCCAGTTTTCCCGACACCAACTTGAAGGGGATTTGCTGGGTGGGAGCCAAAGGGATATGCAAAAGATTACGGAGCTGTCCTTTAAAGCGGAAAACCTTCAAGGCAGCAACTGCTTGCAATGCACTGCTGACTTATGGTGAGCCCATGTGGTTTTCAAGGCAAGAGACGCTCAGAGGTGGCTGGCCAGCACGCCACTGGTATTCCTTGGAGGTCTCCCGTCCAAATACTTGCCAGGATCAACCCCTGCTTAGCTTCTCGGATCTGACGAGATCCAGACACCCTGGACTATCCAGGTCAGGGCTCCATCCTCCCTCCTTTGCCGTTTTAAAGAAAGCAGCTTTGCCCCTTGCACCCCTGAGGGGGGGGGGAGTAAAGGAAAAGAGAAAATTGAAGCCGGCAGTGGCCCTGCGAGGGGAGCAGGGTTGGTTTACCGGGCTGTTCTTGGCTCAGACACTGCCAGCTGCTGATCCCTAAAGCTACAGGGTGTCCCCGCTGGACAGGAAGATTTGTGGAGCCAGAGACGTCTATTCAGGGGGAGTAGGTGTGTTCAGAAGGAAGGCCGGGTTTTCAAAGACAGATCAAAGGGTGCTACATCAGGAACCGCAAAGCCTTGAGCCGCTGCTCCAGAAAAGCCGGAAGAACAGGAAAATCAAGAGCACCACGAGAGCAATTGTGTCAAGCTTTTTTAAAAAATCGGTTCAAGCCAGTGTGAGGCAAAGGCACCCTAGTTTCACCAAGGGTTAACACGAATAATAATGGACCTGCTTCAGCCTGCAGGTGTTTGCCATTACTCTATCTGTGTCTCTTTTAAGGCCTGATATCAGAATGCGGTAACTGGTTAAGCGAAGAGGCCTGTGCTCAGTTTTCAGAAACCAGATGGGAGGGGAGAGTCTGGAGTAAGTTGCGTCACATTTTGGAGGCCTCCAGCGAACCGAGCGCTTTGGTTGGACTCTGAAGACCACCTGATGTCAGAGAGCCAGAAACTACAATTGGGCCTTAGATGAGAGTGACTGCGCTAACTTTTAATCCCATGGGACAGATGCACAAGCTTCTAGCCTGGACTCTGCTGTTGTGAATGGTGCACCAGGTAACACTAGAAAGGGTTTCATGGCAGTTTTGAAATAAAATAATTGGGAGTAAGAAGTCCTCTCCGAGAGCCAGTTTGGTGTAGTGGTTAAGTGCGCGGACTCTAATCTGGGAGAACCGGGTTTGATTCCCCACTCCTCCACTCGCACCTGGCTGGATGACCTTGGGCAAGCCATAGTTCTTATAAGAACAGTTCTAGAAAAAGAGCAGTTACTGTCAGAGCTCTCTCAGCCCCACCTACCTCACAGGGTGTCTGTTGTGGGGAGGGGGAGGGAAAGGAGTTTGTAAGCCACTCTGAGACTCCTTTGGGTAGTGAAGGGCGGGGTATAAATCCAATCTCCTCTTCTTCTTCTTCTCTTTATACAGGTTCTCCTAACTAGAACTCAAGTCCAAGTTCACACGTGCTATTTAAAGTACTTCCCTCCCAGCTCTTCTCCCACTGTTTTCACAGGTGAAAAGTGACAGGCACTTTTAAATACACTGGTAATGGGTTTCTCCACTGCCTAATGGCTACCTGGGGAGCCTTGGTTTGCAATTCTATGTCCTGGGCTTTATCATATAGGCACAATTTCAGTCAAAGCCCTAAATGGGTCTCAGAAGAGGACCCTGTCCCAGGTTGCCAAGTGAGACATGATGACAATGTTACTCCCTGGTTTGGGCCCTTTCCCACACTGCAAGTGGTATCTGCAGGTACACGGCCTCTGAATGTGGAGGTTCCACTTATGCTCGGATGTCTAATGATTGTCAACAAATGACTCCATGAATTTGTCCAACGACCCCCATATAAAGTGATCTATGCTTATGGATGCCATAGGGCAGCTAACGCCACATGTCAGTACTGGAGCTAAGCCACAGTCAGCAGGTTCACAAGACAAGAGGAAAGCCTATTGACTCCTGCCCCCGATAGCTGCAGCAGTGGCCCAAAAGAATTTGTCCAACGACCCCCATATAAAGTGATCTATGCTTATGGATGCCATAGGGCAGCTAATGCCACATGTCAGTACTGGAACTAAGCCACAGTCAGCAGGTTCACAGGACAAGAAGAAAGCCTATTGACTCCTGACCCCGATAGCTGCAGCAGTGCCCCAAAAGTGTAGCCCCCAACCCTCATCCAGAAGTCAAACCCAAGGAAGGCATCCAATGAAACTGATGGGCAGTAGGTTCAGGATAGGCAAAAGGAAATACTACTTTACAAACAGATTAAAATGTGGAATTCACTGCCAAAGGAATAAGCAGCAGCTTTAAAAGAGGGTTAGATAGATTCATGGAGGATAAGTCTATCAGTGGCTACTAGCCATGGTAGCTAAGGGGAACCACCATGTTCAGAGGCACTAAGCCTCTGAATCCCAAAGCCAGGAGGCAACATCAGGGGAAGGCCTCCGTGCCCTGTTGAGGGATGTCCAGAGGAACTGGTGGGCCACTGTGTGAGACAGTATGCTGGACCAGATGGACCACTGGTCTGTTCCAGCAGGGCTCTTCTTATGAGGCAGGATCTCCTGGCTAGAGCCCCAGTTCACAACCCCTGGAGCCTTAAGGCATTAAACTCTCATCCAGCAGATTTTACACCCTGCCCATTTAGTTGCCAGCCCAGTACCTCGATTTGCAGCATTCAAAGATATGCAGGAGAGTAGCAAAGTCATCGCATCCTCCTGCTTGCAAAGACAGCTCCTGGTGCTGGCGCTCCGCTTCCTCTCGCCTCTGGGGATCCCCTGAGGAAACACAAAGACATTTCTTTTCGGTGCCACGTTCTCAGATCTCGTTTCCACCCCCTGTGAACCAGTGAACACTGACTCTGGCAGGAAGGCGCAAGGAGGAGAGGGTGGCAGATCCTATTTCTCCTTTGGACACAGGTGGCCGATGCACAGTGTAGGTGCTGCAGGCGAACACAGGGGAAGGGATTGGCGGCCTGCTCAGGCTGGAGCAAGAGGGTCCTGGCTTACAACAGGGTTGGGCCTGGCCTCCTACCTGCCTTTGGCGCCCTGCACTCTTCTCCAGCTAAAGGGAAAACCACACCAGGGTGCTTGACGAGGGGCTGCCCTGTAGATAACGCCACATCTTCTGCTTGTGCACAATGCAGCAGCCTGCCACTTGTTTGGGGATGCTGCACACACAAAACACCATTTCAGAAAGACCTGGCAATGCTGACCATTTATAGGCACAATTCACAGGGTGGGTTTTAAGCTCCAACCAAAACCCTTCACAAACTGGCAGCGTGTCACTGAAAGAGCGCTTCTCCCTACAAGATATCCCCTCGGCTGGCTTAGGTTGGCGCAACATCTTCTGCCAGAGGTCCACTCCTTTCAGGAGGTATGCTTGACCTCAGTGTGACCCATGGCCTTCTCTGTGGCAGCCCCAGTCTTGGGAATTGTTTGCCCAGAAGAGGTGAATCAATCACCTTCTCTGGAGAGGTTTGGGAAATTAAGGAAAGCTTTTAGAAGCCCACCAGTGGTCTGCAGTGTTCCCTCTAAGCTGAGTTAGTGTGAGTTAGCTCACAGTTTTTTAGCCTCCGGCTCACACATTTTTGTTTTAGCTCAGGAAGGATGGCTCCTGAGCAAACTAAGTTATGCAGTGGCCAAATCGCTCGCTCACAACTTTAATGCCAGGAGCTCACAAAGTAGAATTTTGGGTCACGAGACTCCACAGCTTAGAGGGAGCATTGGTGGTCTGATGTATTGTTATAGGCACAATAAGTGATTCTGGAGTTAGGAGTCTGTAACTGATGGGGAGATATATCTTTGGGCACTCTCGTTTTGTTGGGGGGTTAGTTGTTTTATTAGGATGCCATTATTTTATGGCCTTTTTCTTTGTCAACTGCTTCGTGCTTTGAAGAAGCATGGTGCGGTACATCTGTGAACCAGGAAAGGGCACGCCCAATAGGTTTCGGGGCTGATTTTCAATGAAGGGCTACAGAACAGCCTTCACCACACTGACAGCGCAATCCTCTGTTCCTAGAATCAAAGAGAGAGTCAGTGTGGTGTTGCGGTTAGAGTGTCGGGAGATCTAGGCTTGAATCCACACTCTGCCATGGAAGCCTTCCTGGGTGATCCCAGATCAGTCACACTCTCTCAGCCTAACCTACTTTGCAGGGTTGTTGTGAGGATAAAACGGAGGAACGGAGAACGACATAAGCCACATTAGAGACAGAGGAAGTAACTAAATAAGAAATGTTCTGGTGCTTTGTCGTTTATTTTCACTTCCCGGTCACACACCCTTTTGCAGTCCAATCCTAAGCGGAGTTACACCCTCATAAGGCCTTTGAAGCCAATGGGCCTAGAAGGGCACAACTCTGTTTAGGATGGCACTGCCAGTGATTCAGCTCAAAACTCCCTCTTGCCACAACTTCCCTCTACCCGCTCACAGGCTTCCCTCTGAAACACAAATTCAGGGGGCGTCCTTGTATCAACAGAGCATTTTACAAGTTCTCCCCGCCCCCCTTCCACGACAGGATCACGACGAAGAGCAGAAACCCAGCAACATTAACATTAACAACGGAATCCCTCTGAAAAAGCACGCATCGGATCTGGCCACAAAGACTCAGCATGTCAAAAGGGCTTTGAGTCCAAACGGAGCCAAGCAGCCTGTTTTCACATGAAGTAACAGCCACAAGGGAAGTCTCTGAGCATGTGCAGAGTGCCTTGCTGCCACCATTCACTTGCACAGTGCAGCCCCCCCAAACACCTGTCATCGGAAAAAAGAAGTTCCGAGAGGAAGATTCCTGGCTCACTTTCGGGTTAGCCAAACACCGATAAATGATTAAGAGTGTCACTCGGTCCCTCTCAAAGCCAGAGCGGCCTGCTTTTTGCTTACAAGCCAAAAAATCCAGTTAATGTGTGACAGAGATAACTGAGCACCACCAAAAAACACTGGGAGAAAAGGACAAAGGTCCTTCTGACAACAATCGTTCTTCTAAGCAGCAGCATTGGAGGCTGCCTTACACGGTGGGCCCGCGCGACTGCCTCGCTTTATAAGATTATGCGTGGGATAGAGCAGGTAGAGAAAGAGGTACTTTTCTCCCTTTCTCACCATACAAGAACTCGTGGGCACTCAATGAAATTGGTGAGCAGTCGGGTTAGAACGGATGAAAGGAAGTCCTTCTTCACCCAAACAGTGATTAACACATGGAATTCACTGCCACAGGAGGTGGCGGCGGCTACAAGCATGGATGGCTTCAAGAGGGAATTAGATAAACATATGGAGCAGAGGTCCATCAGTGGCTACTAGTCATAAGGTGCACATAGGAATTCTCAGTTTGGGGCAAGTGATGCTCTGTGTTCTTGGTGCTTGGGGGGGTCTTTTTCTGCACTTGCTGGACGGCACCCAGGAGCTGAGCCTGGGACCTTCTGCGTGCCAAGTCTGTGCTTGCCCACCAAGCCACACGCTTCTCCCCACGTCTCATCCGCCACAGCCCTCTTCAGATGGAGGGCCAAAGTACACGGGATGGGAAAAGACTCCCTTCACTTCAGGTCTCCCATCCCTTCAAAAAGGGCTCAAAGTAGACACCAGCGGGTCAAATCCAGATAAGGGCTTTGGTGCCGCAGCGGTCTAGTCCCCCTCTCAAGTTAAACTGATCCCTCTGGAGCTGCCATTTCCCCTGAAAAGCAAAACATATTGTGGCGTTGGGAGGGGGGATTAATTTGGCCCTTAGGGCCAAACCAGATTAAACATGGGGAGTCAGGAAGGGGCTGTGGCTCAGTGGTAGAGCATCTGTTTATAGAATCACAGAGTTGGAAAGGACCTCCAGGGTCATCGAGTCCAACCCCCTGAACAATGCAGGAAATGCACAAATACCTCCCCCCACACACACCCCAAGCGACCCCTGCTCTATGCCCAGAAGAGGGGGGGAACCCTCCAGGATCCCTGGCCAAACTGGCCTGGAGTAAAATTGCTTCCTGATCCCAAAGTGGCGATCAGCATTTCCCTGGGCGTGTAAGAAAGGGCCACGAGAACTAAGCTTTGAGGCCACCCCTTCCTGCCCTCCCTTCTCGTGATCTGCCTAAATTCACAGAATCAGCATTGCTGTCAGATGGCCATCTAGCCTCTGTTTGAAAACCTCCTCTGTTTGAAAACTTCTGCTTGGCCTGCAGGAGGTCCCCGGTTCAATCCCCAGCATCTCCAGCTAAAAGGACCAGGCAGGAGGTGACAGCAAAGACCTCTGTCTGAGACCCTGGAGAGCTGCTGCCAGTCTGAGTTCTGACCCTGATGGGCCAAGGGTCTGATTCAGGATAAGGCAGCTTCATGTTTGCACGTGTGTTCCATGATCCAAATTCCCACTGTTTGATTTCTGTTATACTCAATGGTCAGGTGCACTGGGGGACCATTTTGATCCCTGGAAAGACTTCATGTCAGGAAAGTGGCCCAGGGAAGGTTTAACACCCTCCTCCCCTTATTCCAATCAGAGTCAGCCCCCCACCATGTGTTTGCTAACTGAATTTGTAAGAAAAACACTGGGAACACCCATCATGGATCTTCTGGTATCTTATCTGGTTTGACCCTTAGTAACAACGGAACAAGTGGAGCTTTAATTCATTCCAAACACCTCACTTGGTCACCTACCAGGACAAACAAACGGAAACGCGACTTTACACAGACAGTGATTTAAATGTGGAATTCGCTGCCAGAGGATGTTGTGATGGCTTTGAAACAAAACAACTTTGAAAGGGGATTAGCTAGATTCATGGAGGATAAGTCTATCAGTGGCTACTAGCTGTGGTGATGGAGGGGAACTTCCACATTCAGAGACCCTAAGCCTCTGAATCCCAGAGCCAGGAGGCAACATCAGGGGAAGGCCTCAGCCTCTATACCCCATTGTTAGCTCTCCAGAGAAACTGGTTAGCCCCTGTGTGAGACAGGATGCTGGACTAGATGGACCACTTGGTCTGATCCAGCAGGGCTCTTTTTATGTTCTTATGAAGTCCTCGGCCTCTGTGCCCTGTTGTTGGCCCTCCAGAGGAACTGGTTGGCCACTGTGTGAGAGAGGATGCTGGCCCAGATGGACTATTGGTCTGATCCAGCAGGGCTCTTTTTATGTTCTTATGAAGTCCTCTGCCTCTATGCCCTGTTGTTGGCCATCCAGAGGAACTGGTTGGCCACTATGGGAAACAGGATGCTGGACTGGATGGACTATTGGTCTGATTCAGCGGGGCTCTTCTTATGTTCTTATCACTAGTAAGAATCACCTCTCAGTGAGCAGGTAGGAAAAGTTTGTGAAATTGCAAGAAAAAACACTCCTTTAGGCTGTCGCTGTGACTCCAAGTCCCCAAACGTGATGCTGCAACACGCACACACCCCAAGCCACAGCTTGGAATTCTCCTTATTGCACGTTTCAGCCTCTGCTTTGTAATCTCTCAAATGGGAATGAACAGCGATGCTCACCTTTCAGGGAAGCATGTACAAATGACCTATGAATCTTCACCTTAAAACAAACAATTATTCTCTGCATTTGATACTTGGTGCAGAGTAGAGTTTCTGGTGGAGGAAAAAGAACGACCACTTTCATTTTTAGAAACACGAGTGCACAGTTCGAGGGGCGACACCTGCAGAACTCTCGGAAGCCAAAGAAAAGCAGGAAATCAAACGGCCGGGGAAGAGGGGGCTGTAGCAACCCGCTGCTAAGTGTGGCTCCACACCTGTCTCCATTACCTGGTCGGATGAAGACGTTTTCTACCGACAACATGGCTGCAATCGGGAGCAGAAGGTCTTCGCCGTCAAGAGAAATGGACTTTATGACCGCACACGTCAAGGTCGGAGGGAGGGGAAACTGCACCATGAACTCGCCCAGTTTGGTCACGTGGCCTCTCCTGAGAAAGGAGGGAAAAACCTGTCTAATATATTTTCCCGTTGGTGGCTAATTTGGGTGCCCTCTGGTAGCTGAACCTTTAGCCCTAGCAGCAAACCTCCACAACTGCAGGCTCCAAGCTACAGGCCCTCACTGAGATGACATTGGGACAATCCAAAGTTCTGCTCACTTCTGGCTCCACTTTGCACGCTCGAGAGGAGCTGGATGGAGCGTAAGGACAGGATCTCAGTTAATTACGTTCAGCATCCCACAATTAAGGAGGCACCTGCCCATCAGTCTCCAATTCTGACACATTTATTTCCTTCACTATGGCCGAGGTCAGACTGGCAGTTTGCCCCAATAGAGGCATGTTTCAGAAACGTTCCACAACCAGATTAAAGGGGCCGTTCACACAGGCACACCTGTCCGGCGTTCCCCAGCCGTACTCAACCCATCTTGTAACGCTTCACTCCCGAGTTTAAAAGTTACCTGGTGAAAGTGGTAGCAAACCCTGGGAAGCACATTTATCCCGCGTCCACCCCGCACCAACGAAGTGTGAACGACAAAAGCCGCATGCTTTTCTTGTGCGCTTATGCACCTAAGCGCATATCTCCAGATTACCAAAAAGAAAGCCGCGCCTTACAGCCGTGCCTCCGCCAGGGGCGGGCCAACGGTGTGAACGCTCCCTTGCGCCTCCTCCCCAGTATGCTCCCGCATCAGTTGGTGCCGTGTGACTGGGAACACCCGGAACAGTTTGTTCCGGGTCTTTTTTGCCACGACTCCCTTCTGCTTCAAACTGTCAGTCTGAACTCGGCCTATGTTTCCCCCCTGAATTAAACCCAAACAAATGGTGACCATATAAACCAGGGGCAGCTAAAATGCAGCTTGGGAGCCACATGCGGCTCTTTCAACACATAGTGTGCGGCTCCCGGCAGGATGGCTGGGGACGTGAAGGGGAGGCATGCCTCCCCGATCGGTCTTCCCTTCCCCAGCCAGTGTTTTCCTCCCTGGGTAGCCTTGAGGAAGGGGGAGCAGAGAAAGAGAGCAACTTTAATTTTAAATGCATTCTCAAAGGCCCCCCCCTCCCCCCAGCCTACAAATATAATTGAATAAATATATATCATTATCAATATCTGTTTTTACCCCCTTTCGTTTTTATTTTTGTCAGTTTCGTTTAATGTTAATAAAAAGCAAATTTGCATATTTTTCAATAAAAACATGTGTGTTATATTTGTTCATGTCTTGTGGCTCTCAAGCATCTGACATTTATTCTATGTGGCTCTTACATTAAGCACGTTTGGCCACCCCTGATATAAACCAAGCTTGTTATTCCTGTTTGGTCCTTGGATCTGTTAAACATCTTCATTATGCTGTATGCTAATTTACTGCTCACCCTGTGCCTATATGTATGGACTGGTAATTTCCATTTCATTGTATCTGAGGAAGTGTGTGTGCACAGGAAGCTTATACCTTGAATAAAACTTTGTTGGTCTCAAAGGTGCCACTGGACTCAGACATTGTTTTGCTGCTTCAGACCAACACGGCTGCCCACCTGAATCTATCTTTGAAGAGTGAGGTCATTGCAATGAGTCTGACAGTGGACCACTGCATACAGTTGAGTAGCCAGTACTGCATACCTGGGTGGGAAAGGTCCTTCAGTCCAGAAACCACCACCAATATATTAATTTTTTTCATGAGATGTGTCTGTATTCTCTGTTCTGTCAGAGGTCAGCTGCGAGCTTCCCCCCAAGCGGTCACTGCGGGTATTTGTGGGGAGGTACTTGTGAATTTCCTACATTGTGCAGGGGGTTGGACTAGATGACCCAGGAGGTCCCTTCCAACTCTATGATTCTAAGAACTCCATTCCCTAACATGTGGGGCCCGATTTGGATCGGGACTGTGGTACGGCAAAGAACAGTCTTCAGCCTTCCCCCTGCACCATTTTCCCAACCCAAAACAGCCCTGGGGAAGGTATTTGTCCCACTGGAGAAACCTTGTGGACCCCCATCTGCACACGTGTAGCCCCAGTGGAGCAAACAGCACCTATCCAGGCCATTTCAAGTTGAGAAAACAGCACAGGGAACCCAAATCAGCCCCTGCTTTGGATCTGAGTTCCCAGTGGGGTGCCTGCAGCTGATGTCTGACTGAAAGTCCTTGGGGCGGACCCAGGGAGGACACGTGCAAAACCTACAGTGTTTGTAGGATGGCGGGTTTTTTAAATTTACCTGTCAATGGCGCCGCACTGGTAAAGCTGCTTCAAGGCTTCTAGGATGCGCCTCTCTTCTGGGCGGTCCAAATATGGAAATCTACAGAGAGAAAATAGCATCCCTTCACTGAGCTTGCAAATGACCCCACTGCAGGAATTCTGCCCGGTGTTAACCCAGAGGTTATCTGTCCGTGACATCCTGGGGGTGGGTAAGGGGAATAGCATCTTTAATACCATAAGTTACCATCTTTAACACTATAAGTTAGTCACTAGCACTTTATGTGATGTACGTTAGTTTTAATGAATTGTTTTAGATTTCTGTACATGGTCACCATGATGCGGGCACCTTGGGTGAGAATGGGACGTTTTAGGGGACGGCCATCTTGTTTTTAAGAGAGGAGCACCAAAATTTGTTCATTACTGTGATGTATTTTAATATTTTAATGTTTTCTATTGTTCTATTGTATTATCTGGCAATATGCCTTGTAAGCCGCCCCGAGCCTCCGGTGAGGGCGGGATAGAAATGTAAATAATAAATTAAATAAATAAATAAAATAGATATTTTATATTTATTGTATTGTGTTTTTATGATGTTAGCCGCCCTGAGCCTGCCTGGCAGGGAGGGCGGGGTACAAATCACAGACCCTTAAACTCCCCTAAAACTAGAGTTGGGATGCTTTGGGGAAAGAGACATGTGTTAGCTCTTGGGTGAGTTCTCAAGTGTGGTGTTTTGCTATGTAAATATCTTGTTTCGGTCTGTTTTATTTCTGTGACTTAATGTGGGGTTTTATATGTATGTTGCTGTGGGTTAAAATGTAGGCCTCTAGAATAAGAAGGGGGGGCTGGATGGGTGACTGAAGTATGTTCTGATTGGATGGTAGCTGTACCCAAGGGAGTGGAGCTGACTGGTTTGTGGAGAGAGAGAGTGCAGTTGTTGCGTGGGAAGAGAGTGGAATGGGTGAAGAGTGCGGAGTGTGAGAGGAATCTGTGTTTTCCTCCAACATATATTTTATTATTTTCAGTTTATCTTACAGAACATAAACTACAATTTACAACGGTATTTATATCTTATATAAAAGATAGATACATAGATAGTCTCTATAATCATCTACCAACTGTTTTATTTAGAGTAAAGGATCCCTCTTTACCTCAGAGCCGCTCCCACGCACTGACTGTTCTATCGTTCTTCCAACTATAACTAAGCCATCCTGTCCTTTGAGTCCAGTTAAGAATTCTAAACCTTGACCTGGATGGTTAGCAGTCAGACCCCTCCTCTCCGCTGAGGAGCAGTTTACAGCTAGAAAACCATAAACACCCTTCCGAATATATCATCTCAACATCAGGGGAAGGCCTCAGCCTCTTTGCCCTATTGTTGGCTGTCTAGAAGAACTGATTGGTCACGATGTGAAACAGGATGTGAAACAGACTATTACTCTGATCCAGCAGGGCTCTTATGCTTTTATTGTTTCCCCCAGACACCAGTGGCTTCTCCTGCTTCCGATATTTGGGTGTCACTTAAGATCCCCTGTTCCCTCTTCAGCCCACCCAAAAGACAGGCTACCTTATGACGTCGTGGATAGCGAGGCACTTCAAGGTGAGGATCACCGATGTCAAGCTGGTTCGTCTAATCTCCGGGACCATGTGGTCAGGCATACACTCATCCCAGAATTCCTTGCTGTACACCCGGTAGCATTTCCCAGATGCTGTTCTGCCAGCTCGGCCTGCTCGTTGTAATGCTTCGCTCCTGAAAGACCGCCGGGAGGGGAGATAGATCCCTCATTTAAATGTATAACTTCCATTCCAAAAAGCTGTAAGCAGAGGCCATTAAACTGTAACACGTATTTTATGTACTGAAAACTGTGACAAACTTGACCCGGTGGACGGTTGGCAAATAGGCTGGAAAGGAATTGCTCCAGGTGGCACCACTTTGGCCTCTGAATACAGGCTCACCTGAGTCCGCAGGACCTCCTCTGCTCTGGCCCCAGTCTCCCAGCAGCCTCTGCAAAAAGGAAAGCAAAGGGAGAATGGACCAGGCGGGATTCTGGGAGAGCCGCTTCGTGCAAAAGGCAGCAGCACAAGGACTGAGCAGGTTCAAGATGAAGTCCAGGAGCTGCCAGTTCCTGGACTTCATGCAAAGGGCAAAGGTTCAAGGCAAAGTCTGCTTGATCCTTCTGCCACTGCGTTTTGTACAACCTAGCTCCCCCAGAATCCTGCCTGATCTGTTCGCCCTTTGCTTTGCCTTGATCCATTTATATTCGGGGCAAGTTACTTCCCCCACCCACCCCCAATCTAAAACACCCTCCCAGTCTTTTCTGATAGGGCATGAGAGAGGGGGCAGCCTCTCAATACTCTGCCAAAGCAGCCAATGCTAATAATAACGAGATTAGCACGTTTAGCCCTTGCACCTAATACCAATTACCGGCCAGGGAAACTGCTTGCAGCTGGGAACTGTCAGAATCTAACACCATCATCAGATCTATGACAGGAGCAGATCTGAGTAGCCATGTGCTTGCCTCACTCACGTCGCAATGAAGTGATAACTCGCCTACCATAAATCAGGAGGCAAGACAAACCACAACAAAGGAACTGTAAACCTGAAACTAGCTCAAGGTCGGACTGAGCCAGGGAACTTTGCTGGAACGCTCTTGATTGTTGGAGGCTGGTGAACGTCAGACGCCTGGAGACCATGTTCCAGGACTGTGTCAGCCAGAGGAAAGAACTTTGACGCTCAGCCCCAGCCCAGTTTGTCTGCACAGCTGCTTTGGGCACCGCCCCAAGGGATCAGTATTAGTTTAGTTAGAATAGCTTTCTGTTTGTTTCTTTGTGTCTCGCTCACTGTAGTTTTCTCCCTAACTTGTATGCTTTTAAGTGTTCATTTGTAATAAACCTGTTTGTTTTAATCGGAGTAGTCACCAATCCTTTTCACTATCAGAAAGGCAATACGGAGTCTCTGACGAGCCTCCTGCCATTAATCTCTCAGTGCGCTGATAGGAAGGACCCTGGGAGAAGGTAAATTCATACCCTGTAGGTCTCTGGAAATTGCTCTGGTCAGGGCAATAACATTAGAGGCGGCAGGCTAAAGCCAAAATACAGGGCAAGGGTTCTTCACACAGGGCCTTGCTCGGTTCTTGAAAATCCCACCCCCATCTAATGCATTTCTTTGCCTGGTGGATGGAGGAATGGGGGAGCAGGGCAGGCATGGAGAAATCAGAGAGGGGGGGGGAGAGGAGTAGAATTCTCCCTTGTTTTCCCTGCCTGTCAAACTTGATGGGCCTTGAACTGGTGAATAAACAGTGATGGTTCACAGGATGTGAACAGCTCGGCCCACTGCAGTCCCACCCCACCCCCCGCTGGGCCGCCGCAGGACTCTTGTGGCCCCCTCCCTCACAGTGACCTTTCACTTGCCCATCTGAAGCATGGTTCATTCTGCGTCTTCTGGTCCTGGCCCTCTGATTCTCTTGCATGGGTGTACGATGCTTCAGCTGGTCACTGCCAGCTGAGCTGGAGCATCTTCCTCACGAGTAAAGCAGCAAGCAGTGGTTCACTGCACTGAGAGAGCCTGACCTGAACCTTTTTAAGGAGTCCGGAATCATGACGTGACCTGCTTTGCTCTACCGATGCAGGAAAGCTCCTTGGGCTGGTCTCCCCCCTTGCAGCCCCCTCCTTTCTAGAGCTGCACAGGGGTGCACAAGATGAATCCCCATCTAACTTCCTCAGGGCTCCAGGTTCCTGCCCCCACATCGCCGTTGACTCATAATGAAGTGTGAGCTCCCAGCTCCATCTGTTGGAAACAGGATACTGGGGGCTGGGTGGAACCTTGACCCAGTCCAGCAAGGCAATTCCTGTGTGAAATTTCAGTCTCAAAGATGTGGTCTGGATCTCTCTTTGTCCTCCCGCCCCAAATGAAACATTTCCCGTGAGCTTGGTGGATGGCACATAAGCATGCGCCCTGATGCCCACACTCAGCGTCTTTCTTCTCTGTTTTTTAAAAACATATATTTTTTTTATTTTAGAAAACAAGGTAATAATAAAAGGGATGCAAAAGGGGGGGGAAGGATTCTATTACAAGAAAGTCAGGTGTCTCAAAAATTACTACACATTGCAAAATATATCAAAAATAAGAATTATTTCATCATTACTGCATATTGTATCTTGCATATTTCATCATTCTACTTACTATTTATAACTTCTAATGTAACAAAGTTTAAGGGGAAATCTATTAGATATCTGAAAAAGGATATTTTGTTTCTTTATACATTTATAATCAGAACAAGTTCTCGGTCAGCCTTATCTCATAGTACCTTCATGCGCTTCACAATACATTTATATAGAGTTTTAAAACTGTTCCTCATTCTAATTTGCAAATTGTTTCTCATTCTAAATTTGTCTCCTGCTTGCATAATAAGCATAATAAATAAATCTATCCTCAAATGTTGAATCCCCCCCCCCCAACCACCAATATGGCATTCGGTTTCTTCCCCAACCAAAGAACGGTGACCCGTTTCTTGAAACTTACTTGGAAATGGGAACCACCTCCAGTGTATCCAGGCCCACTCTGGGGTTATGGTTGACCTGCTTCACAAACCCACTGTCAACCACGTACCTTCAGGAGGGAAATACAAGTGTGATTTGGGTGTTAAATATCAGGGCGTTCCTAAATTCCCAAGACCAACACTGGGTTCCCAAACACAGCTGGCATGAAGAGGAGTCAAGAAGGCCCAGGACATACTTCGAAGGTGACTGATGGGTCTACTGCTGAAGCTCATCAAGGCCCAGCTATACATGCTGCCCAGGTGGGAGACCACCTAGTGATCAAAGGCATGAAGGGCGTTGTTCCCCTCTCTAGATTTGAGTCCAGTAACACCTTAGAGACAAACAAGATTTTTTTGACCTTTGGCTCTCTATACGAGATGCCTAACGGTCCCTCATTATGCTAGGGCATTGGCTCTCGCTCCTCTTAATGCTAACACTTCTGAGGTACGGCGTGGGAGGTCCTGTAATATAATATTCCATATGCAGATCGCCTTCGCCCTTGTGGCCAAAATAAAATTGATACTTTACTCAAAGAGTGATTAACACATGGAATTCACTGTCACAGGAGGTGGTAGCAGCTACAAGCATGGACAGCTTCAAGAGGGAATTGGATAAGCATATGGAGCAGAGGACCATCCGTGGCAATGAGCCACAAGGCCTAGATAGGAACTCTCAGTCTGGGGTGAGTGATGCTCTGTATTCTTGGTGCTTTGGGGGGGGGGGCAACAGTGTCCTGGCCCCACGGATGGACCTCCTGATGGCACCTGGTATTTTTGGCCACTGTGTGACAGAGTGTTGGACTGGATGGGTCACTGGCCTGATCCAACATTGGCTTCTCTTATGTTCTTATCTCATAAAATTTTGGAATGCTCCTTTTTTTTTTTTTTACTGTTTTTAGGAATCACTGGACTTTACCTGTTTTATCGCATTTATCATTTAATAATTTTCAAAGGGACATTATTCCCTATTTGATGCTAGACAGTGATCCAAATACAACCTTATTGGTTGCTAAATTCCTGTCTACCATAATTTAGCACTCTTCTAGTCCCTGCTCTCCTGCCAACCTAGCAGTTCGAAAGCAAGAAACTGCAAGTAGATAAATAGGTACCACTTCGGTGGGAAGGTAACAGCGTTCCGTGCGCCTTGGTGTTTAGTCATGCCGGCCACATGACCACGGAAACGTCTTCGGACAGCGCTGGCTCTTCGGCTTTGAAACAGAGATGAGCACCGCAACCCTAGAGTTGGACTCGACTGGCTTTCAAGCAAGGGAACCTTTACCTTTACCTAGTCACTGCTCAAGACCTATTGATCAGAGGAGCTCTGGAGGGGAGGGGAGGGGAGGGGAGGGGAGAGGAGAGCTCATACTCTCCAAAATCGTATTGGTCTCTAAGGTGCTCCTGGTCTCAAACCTAGCTGTTGTATTGCAGACCAAGATGGCGAACCCTCTGAAGCTACCTTCCCTTCTCTAGGGCCACTTGCCAGACTCAGACAGCACAATGCCACTGTAAAAATTAACTACTGTACGATCTACATCCTTCTTGGTGGTAGAACATACCCTTTGCAATGGCCTTTGCTTTTTTACAGTTTCTACAAGCCATTGCAAGAAATGGCAATGACCTGGAGGGGGTGGGGAGAGAAACTGAAGTTTGACCAAGCTTCCTGTTGCAGGGCTTTGACCGTTGCGGTCTCTCGCAGTACTGAATTCATTTTTCTGACCTTAGAGCGGGGATGTTTTGAAAATTCTATGTCTAGCGTATTTCATGATGGGTGGGTGAACTACTGTATTTGATTTTACACCAATATTACCATTTTGCTAAGCCAGCTTTTGTATGAAGCAGAAGGCAAGATATAAATCCTGAGAAGAAAATCCTGATCTGAAAGATCGTAGCACAGAACCCAACGCCATTAACTCTCAGCTACATCTCCTGATCGAAATAGGCAGAATGGCCCACCTGGTTCCATCAATGGTCAGAGACGTCGCTGCGATATTTGTGGACACCACGCATTTCCTGATACCTGGGGGAGAAGGGAGAAATATACTCCTCTGCTGATCTAAAAAAAGAGAAAATCCAGGAAGGGAGGGGAGGGGGTAGAGGAACAGCCAAGTTAAAGCTGGCCGAAACTGAACATTGCATAAAGGCAGGACTACCCATGAGACACTATGCTGTCTGTCATAAGAACATAAGAGAAGCCATGTTGGATCAGGCCAATGGGCCATCCGGTCCAACACTCTGTGTCACACAGTGGCCAAAAACACCAGGTGCCATCAGGAGGTCCACCAGCGGGGCCAGGACACTAGAAGCCTCTCCCACTGTTGCCCCCCAATCCCCAGGAATGCAGAGCATCACTGCCCCAGACAGAGTGTTCCCTCTATACCTTCTGGCTAATAGCCACTGATGGACTTACCTCCATCAGTGTCCCCCTCTATCATGGTCTTCCGCCAGCAGATAAAGACATCAGTGTTTCATCTAGTGATCCCTCACTGTCCCTCCTTTCTGCTTAATTAACTGTTGTTTTGTTTTTATATCATGTATTTTTAAAGTTTGTTCTACTGTTTTGATCATTTGACACCTTGGGGGCCCTAAGCTGGGTGGTGGCATAAGAATGTTTTAAAATAAACACATAAAATAAAAATAAGTTGTCATGATCTGTGCAGGACTGGGAGCAAGGCCTAGTGAGGCCTGGTCCCAGGAGAGACCTGTCGGCAGTAGAAAGTAGACAGCCTACAATCCCCATAATGCTTAGAGAGGATTATAGCCAATCAATTCCCAGAGTTGTGTGAGGATATTCTGACTTAAGGTGCTAACTGTGGAAGACGGGGTGTTCTTTTGTTTCTCGTCCGCGGTCTGGTCTCACAGAGGGGGCAGGCTGGTCTGGCGAGAGAAAAAGATCCCTCACTTGGCTGAGAGTGAGTACAGGTAGCGTCGCCTGGCAGGCTGTGGGCCTGGAAGTAGTAACTAAAGCGAACTAGGTGGCCGCATTAGGATTGTGTTTATTTTGCCTTTTGAACACTGTTAGATCTTTTAAAGCACCTCATCTTGTGTTCCTTGCCCCAGTACTGTGCTAAGAAACCATTTTGTTGAATTGTTCTCTGCCTGGTCATCACGCCCATAGTTCTCGGCTTAAAAAGGGGTCATTTTGGATGCGCTTGGGAGGGTACCCTGGGCCTTCTCAAGGGACTGGGAGTCCAGGGTGGTGGCCAATGTTCCCTCTAAGCCGTGGTGTCTTGTGAGCAGAAGTTCTACTTTGTGAGCTACTGGCATTAAAATTGTGAGCGAGTGATTTGGCTACTGCATAAATTAGTTTGCTCTGGAGCCATCCTTCCTGAGCTAAGTCAAAAATGTGTGAGCTGGAGGCCAAAAAACTGTGAGCTAGCTCACACTAACTCAGCTTAGAGGGAATGCTGGTGGTGGCAGCGGAAGGTGGAGACCCCCTCTGGGGGTCATGACCAATGCTCCCTCTAAGCTCTGGAGTCTTGTGAGCCAAAATTCCACTTTGTGAGCTCCTGGCATTAAAGTTGTGAGCGAGCCATTTGGCTGCTGCATCAATTAATCTGCCCTGGAGCCCTCCTTCCTGAGCTGAGACAAAAATGTGTGCGACAGAGGCTAAAAAATGGTGAGCTAGCTCACACTAACTCAGCTTAGAGGGAACACTGGTCATGACATAAGTAATACCACACAGGGACGTGCAGTAACGCACAAAAAAAGGGACAGCCCCCCCAGCCCCCAAGGGACTCATCATGCTGAAGGAACAAGAAAAATCCTTGCAGGGCACGGGTGCGTTATTACAGCCTCCTCCTTCCCACCTATTTCTTGAGCCAGACCTGTGGTTTGTTCTCCAAACAAAGAAAAGGGGGGTGGTTTTTGAGTCCTAAGACACACACGTGCCCAAAGAGCTGGCATCACATTCTTTCAGGAAGTGTTTCTTCTGCAAGAGTTTACATGCCAAGCTGGAAGCCGATCCTAAATGCATCTTTTTAAACAGACTAAGCGTTGCTGACGAAGCAGGCAAATCAGTCTGGGATTTTAAATGACAAAAGGGATTGATACAAAAATACTTCCCAAGGCCTTAAGGCGTTGGATGCCTCCATAAAAGGTATGAGGAGAAGACCTGAGACAATTTCTTAACACCCATTTCTGGGCTTCTACCTGCAGCTTTCAGCACACTGCATTCTTTTATTACTTGGGGGGGGGGGCTGCAGAGGTGGCACAACAGACATTAGAAATTTAGCATGACCAAGAGAGAAGAAGAAGAGGAGGAGGAGGAGATTCAATTTATACCCTGCCCTTCACTTGGAGTTTCAGAGTGGCTTACAATCTCCTTCTCTTCCCCTCCCCACAACAGACACCCTGTGAGGTAGGTGGGGCTGAGAGAGCTCTTCGAGAACTGCTCTTGAGAGAACAGCTCTGAAAGAACTGTGACTAACCCAAGGTCACGCCAGCAGCTGCATGTGGGAGAGTCTCCCGGATTAGAGTCTGCGCTCCTAACCACTACACCAAACTGGCTCTCACTGTCACCATCTGTCTGCTCACACACCTCCCTCCAGCTTCCAAGATCGCCCCCTAGATGCTGCTCACACACTCTTATTCTTTAACCATCATGAGAACTAGAAACCTTCCCCAAATCAAAGCTGACATTTCAGGATGAAAGGCTGAAGAGTCTGGGACTTTTCAGTTTAGAAGAGAGACAACTGGGGGGGAGGGGGCATGACAGAGGTTTATAAAATTATGCCTGGGGTGGAGAGAGTTGACAAAGAGGAACTCGAGGGCATTCAATGATGCTGATGGGCAGTAGGTTCAGGACGGACAAAAGGAAATACTTTCCCCTTGGGAAAACAGTGGCTCCCTGGGGTCCTTCCAGATTCAGTGGGTGAGTGAGGGCTTAAGCCTCCTCTTTGTCTAGACCATCATCTTTCACCTGCACAAGAAAAACCACTGCCTATAACTCCACCCTCACTGTTCTTGCGGCAGGAAAGTATGGTAGGTAGGAGGGACCCGCTGACAAACACAGAAAAGGACAGCCAGTGTGGTGTAATGGTTAGAATGCCATACTAGGATCTGGGGGGCCCAGGCTCAAATGCCCACTCTGCCATGGAAACTCGCTGGGTGGCCCTGGGCCAGTCACACACACTCAGTCTAGCCAATCTCACAGGGCTGTTGTGAGGATAACATGGAGGCAAAGAGAACGATGTAGGTTGCTTTGGCTCTTCAGTGGGGAGAAAGGCAGAGCACAAATGAAGAAAGTAGATTTATAAATAAAAAGCAGACCCACCTGTTGGCATCGAACCATACAACGGCAGCAGGAGGAGGCCTTCGACTGAGGTGTCTTTCACATCGAAACGGTAGTCGATGGTTTCGGCCTTCTGGAACAAAAGCTCACAAGCCCTCTCAATCTCAGACTGACCTGAAATGAAACCACAAGAGCTGACTCCAAGATCAAACTAGATCTAGGTAGGGATAGGCACCAATTTTGGCCAGTTCGTGGTTCGAGAACTGAAGTTTGTGGCAGGTCAACCACAATGAACTTTCCATGAACTTTCAAGCAGTTCATAGAGGTTCGGGCTGGTTCATGAATGTATACATTTCCAGACAGACTCTCTCCATTCAAACAAAATGTTTACCAAACTTCAAAGAGGTGTGTGGGGAAGAATTCTCTAGCCTTGGAAACACTGTTGTCAGTTTCAAACTAGTCATGTCAGTTTCAAGAGGGTTCCCCCCCTTGCCTGTGTTCCTTTGTGTTCACTTCCTATTTTCTTGCACAGAGCTTGCAGAATCCCACCCCACTTGATAGGATTTGTGACTCTGTGCTTTGAGATCAGTCCTTTTAAGCTTGCATTTCCAGTGGCAGTGGGTTCTGCTGGGTACTCTGTGATTGCATTCATACTGCTGGGCTTGCAAAAATGCCCTCCCGGCTTGGATTGTGATTAAGCTGGCATTGCCACACTGGCACTGGGTTCTGCTGGGCACTAGTACATTGCATTGATTCTACTGGGCTTCCAACGTCTGTTCCCCCCCCAGTTTGGATTGTGATTCTGTGCTTGACATCAGTTCTGTTGAGCTGGCATTGCCACATTGACACTGGGTTCTGCTGGGCACTCTGTAATTGCACTGGTTCTGCTGGGCTTGCAAAAAAAACCCCTTGCTTGGAGTGTGATTCTGTGCTAGACATCAGTCCTATTGAGCTGGCATTGCCACAATGGCACTGGGTTCTGCTAATACATCCCACTGGTTCTTCTGGATTTGAAAAAATGCACCTCCCCCTTTCAGTTTATACTGCAGAGATTCTCTGGTTTGACCTTAGACCTTTTGGGTTTGCACTGCCACAGTGGCACTGGTTCTGCTGGGCATGCAAACATGCCCCCCACCTTCAGTTTATACTGCAGAGATTCTCTGGTACTTTGATTCTGTTCTGCTGGGCTTCTATTACCCTTGCTTTTTTTCCTCCATTGGAAACAATGGCGGACAGGGGGGCCATAACTCAGATGCTGTAAATCTAAGGCTCACCACACTTTAAGGGCAAGTAGAGGAGAGTCAGCCGGAGATCCCGTGAGTTTGGTCCCTCTAGCATGCCGGGGGAGCATGCATCACAAACCTCACATGCTGAACTGGTTCGTTTCACTCTTAAAAGTTCACGACAGTTTATGGCTCCTGAACTCGGCACACCACAAACCGAAACAAACTGCTCCCAGTTCGTGCCCATCCCTAGACCAGGGTCTACATTTTTAAAAAATAAGCAAACTAGATCCCTGTGCTTCAGCAATTCAAATTCTGCGACCTGTATACATTAGGCCACTTCAGCAAATCTAAGTGCTATCTCCTGCTTTGTGTAATTTTGCTATTGTAAACCATTCTGCAGGTCACAAGGAGGAGTAAGAAGCTACGTGGGGCAAAAAAGCTCTTCCCCCACCCCCAAAAAAGACTACTGGAATTTTTACTCGGCCCCCTTGAGATTTTAGCTGGCATTTCTCACACACTGAGATCATGGCACAATGGACCGAGTGCCGGTCTAGGATCTAAGAGACTCCAGGGTCAAATCCCCACTCTGCCATGGAAGCCTGCTGGGTAATCTTGGGCCACTCACACACCTCAGGCTAACATACCTTACAGGACTATTGTTGTGAGGGAACGGTGTAAGCTGCTTTGGGTCCCCGTTGGGAAGAACTGCAGGGTATAAATAAAGTTTTTAAAAACCCACTACTTTTGCGATCTGAAGAGAAACCACTATTTTTCAAGCTCATCTTTACAGTCATAAGAGCTAGGAATGTGGGTTGTTAAAAGCAAAAGCTCAGATTCCCGCAAAGCGGAGCTGCACGCCCAACACCATACTTGTGCTGCTTGCAGAATCAGGCTTTTGGGGCCGCCAGAGCAATGGGACTGGCTTCACAGAAACCTCAGAGGACTTCCACCAACCAGCTAAGCTCTGTCACTGGACAACACGCCAAACCCTGTCACTGGCAGAGTCAGGAGTCAACCCCAGATCGTCTTCAGAACCTGGGTGGTGTCAGTCCTCATTGCCCACCTCCCAACTCTCACCAAAAGAGGGACCTGCCAGGGGAACAAGGGATACCGATACCGTCGCTGTCCCTCAATAGTAGAGCACCCGCTTTGCCTGCTGAAGGAGAACATCTGGCATTGCCTGCTGACAATTCAAAAGTGGACAACATCCCACTTTTGATTTGTCAGCAGGCTGTGCCAGATTTATTGTGGAGTATACCAGTATGTTCCTCTTTGATGACATTGTAAGCTTACTATCCCAGAGAGGAGACCGGGAGATTACCACCACAGGAGGCTTTAAGAGTGTTTCTTTACATTGTTATTCAACATAGATTAACTCTCGAATTCTTATGGAAACAAGGGACCTTGTATCGCTGTTATTTGCTGTTATATTGTACACAATATTTTGTAATTTCTGTATGTTCTAGTTCTCGGTTGTATAGGATGCCTCAGCTATTGTACTGTTGGATTTTGCTTGACCACATCCTATTTGTTCACTTGACAACTGTGTATTTGTAAACGCTGTGAGTCTATTTGCTCAGTTTCTTGTATTAGTCTGGAGTGTTGTGCTATTTTCAATAGACTTACTATTTGTGTTTCTGGATGTTCGGATGTTTATATTTTAAATAAAGTATTAATGGGTTCTAATCAACAGGTTACCATTAGTTATGCCAATTTTTTTTCAGTAGCCTATAGAATTTGCAGAGATTTTAACAAATTGTTGCCAATAGATCGGACCAATTTTACTTTCCAATGACATTATTGTAAAGCTTTTATTCTTGACTTGTACTGCTCGTTGGCCAAATAAAAGAACTGATTGATTGATTGAGTTACTATTTGTGAATTTTCATTGGTGGAACATTTATACTCTTACCATATATGATTCTTTTTCTAGTAGTGGGGAGCTTTTTAGGTGCAGCCCACTTTCGGAGTTTAGTGTTTTTGGTTCTCAATATCTCTCTCACTCGGTTGTCCTTTGTAGTTTTTGAAGGTCTAACAGGTAGCAGACATTAGAAATATCTTACATTGCCCGAGACCCTGGAGAGCAGACAATGTAGAATTTGACGGCCTGAAGATCTGACTCAGTACAACGCAGCTTTATAACAGGGCCCTTTATCACAACAGTCCCAGGTTCCATCCCTGGCCATCTCCAGTTAAAAGGATCTCCAGCAGCAGGTGCTGAAAAAAACTGAGACTCCAGAGATCCAATGCCAGTAGACAGAATCAGATTGGATGGAACAGTGGTATAAGGCTGCACATAGGAGCAGTGTTCCCTCTAAGCAGTTCCGCAGGGCCTGTAAAACGGAGCTCTTTCGCCAGGCGTTCGATTAGGGGTCGCCACTGAGGGGTGTGCTCTGGAACATCTTCTGGCCGAACTTAGACCATCTCCTGGCTAGAGTCCCTGCTGGTTACTACCCCTATCTCGGGATTTGATTGGATTACCGCCATAGTTGGTTCTGTAATTGTTGTTGTTTATTTGTTTTAACTGATATTGTATTTATTAATTGTTTTAATTTTTTGTTATGTTATTTAATCTTGTTAGCTGCCTTGAGCCTGCTTGTCAGGCAAGGTGGGGTATAAAAACAAACAATAAATAAGTATAAATAAATAAATAAGCTGAGTTAGTGTGAGTTAGCTCACAGTTTTTTAGCCTCCAGCTCACACATTTTTGCCTTTGCTTGGGAAGGATGGCTCCAGAACAAACTAATTTATGCAGCAGACGAATTACTTGCTTACAACTTTAATGTCAGTAGCTCACAAAGGAGAATTTTTGCTCACAAGACTCCACAGCTTAGAGGGAGCATTGCATAGGAGGAAGGTCCATAACTTTCTGATGAGAGTACCAGCATTGTTTGTAGGTAGCTTCCTTATGGGGCTAATGAGTGGATTCTCATGATTTAGGGTACATCAATCTCCAGTTCTGACATATTTATTACCTCTGTTGCTTGCCCCCCCCCAGTTGAACCCAAACAGATGATAACCAGTAACTAAGATTGCCATTCATTTTATCTGTTAAAAAAAAGCTATTTTGCATGCTAATTTAACAAGCCACCCTCTATATATACTACTATGGTCTGTAATTCCATTTCATTGTCTGACAAAGTGTGCATGCACACGAAAGCTCACACTTTGAATAAGACTTTGTTGGTCTTAAAGGTGCCCCACTGGACTCTAACTTTGTTTCATGGAGCTGTTGTTGTGCCACTGGACTCAAACTTTGTTCTACCGGAGCTGTTGTCAGTTATAAGATAATGTACGTCAAGTGATCTGAACATTGAAAGCTAAGTATAAACACCCAGGATTATTATGAGGTCCTTTTACTGATCAGTAGCACCTTAAAGACTAACAACATTTGTAGAAAGTATGAACCTTTGTAAGTCACTGCTCACTTCAGAAAGCTCCTGCCCTGCCACAAATGTTGTGAGTCTTTCAGGTGCTACGGGACTCTTGCTCTTTTCTGTTACAGACAGACCAACAGAGCTACCCAGCTTAATCTTTTATTGATCATTACTCTTTGTTTTATGTTTCAAATTTCAGCATTTTTACCAAAAGTGCACTCTAATGTCTTCTTTGTTGTTAATGTCTATATCAGGGGTGGCCAAATTGTGGCTTGGGAGCCACATGTGGCTCTTTCATACATATTGTGCAGTTCCCGGCAGGGCAGCTGGGGAAGCGAAGGGGAGGCATGCCTCCCTGATCGGTCTTCCCTTCCCCAGCCAGTGTTCCCCTCCCTAAGTAGGCTTTGGGGGGGGGACCAGAGAAAAAAAAGCAACTTTAACCTTAAATGCATTCTCAAAGCCCCACCAGCTGGCTTGGAGAAGGCATTTGTCTCTTTAAATCCCTTCTCCAAGCCACGCTGGCTGACATGGTGGCGTGGGGTTGTGTTGGAGAACACATTAAAAGTTAACGTTGCTTTCTTTCCACCTCTCCCTCCCTCCCCATTTATTTGCTTTCTTTCCACCTTTCTCTTTTTCTCCCTTCCTTCCTCCTCATCTATTTGCTTTCTTTGTTTCTCTCTCTCTTTCCACCTCTTTCATTCTTTCTTTCCACCTCTCTCTCTTTCTCTCTCTCTTAGAGGAATAAATATCATTCGCAAGCAAGGAAATATCATTGGACAAATAAATATCGTTATCAATATCTGTTTTTACCTCTTTTGTTTTTGTTTTTGGCAGACTCATTTAATGTTAATAAAAAAGCAAATTTTCATATTTTCCAATAAAAATGTGTGCGTAATATTTACTCATGTCTTGCGGCTCTCAAACATCTGACATTTGTTCTATGTGGCTCTTATGTTAAGCAAGTTTGGCCATCCCTGGTCTATATCTTAAAAATGCAAATGCAACATCATGCCAGCTCTCCAGTACTGCACAGGAACACAGCAGCTCTGCCTGCTCTTCCCTCCCCCCCCCCAAGTGAGCAGCTTCACAACATTCTCCAGAGTGCAAAATGCTGATCAACAGAGAAAACACAAAGAATTCATTTGGGCACAGACTAAGAAGCCGGCTGGCCTCCCAGGAGCAATTCCTCGTATTGCCTTTGCCAGTGAAAGGAATTCTTCCACACAGGACTGTATCAGTGTTGGGATAAAAGGAGGAAACTCTCACCAGTCAGGAAAACCAAGATGTCCCCAGCCGAGCCGTTCAAATGGATGTCCAAGGTCACTTTTACTGTCTGGGACGAGAAAGATCAGAAGGATTAGGACCTTTGTTTTGACCCTCTTTTACACAAACAGATAAAAACAAGTTCGCTTCTCCCTCCAACAATCATGTCTTCTGGTGCAAATGCAAATGAAGGAAAACCATGCTGCTGAAGAGATAAGGGTTTCACACACCTTATGTTTCTTCAGTGGCAAAGTGTCCCGTGATGGCCCGGTGAATCTGTAGAAGGTACTTGTAGTCACATGGAGGTGACATCAGACCCTCCCTTTCCCAAGGTCCTCTTCCCAGCAGAACGAGCACAGAACTGGAAAGCCATCATGAATTGCCAGGGCCCAAAAGAGACCGCTGATCAGCCTGCCCCCAAATCCACCTGTAAGTCTCTCTGAACATAAGAAGAGCCCTGCTGGGTGAGGCCTGTGGTCCATCTAGTCCAGCACCCTGTCTCACACAGTGGCCAACCAGTTCCTCTGGAGGACCAACAACAGGGCAGAGAGGCCAAGGCCTTCCCCTGATGTTGCCTCCTGGCACTGGGATTCAGGGGCTGACTCCCTCTAAACATGGAGGTTCCCTTTAGTCACCATGACAGTGAATTCCACATTTTAATCACTCGTATAAAGAAATATTTCCTTTTTTCCATCCTAAATCTACTACATAACACCTTCATTGGATGCCTCCAAGTTCTAGTATTTGGGGAAGAGGGAGAGAAAGTTCTCTGTCTCCTCTCTCAACTCCTTGCTTAACAATTATTATTATTTATTTTATTATTAAATTAGATGATTTATTAGGCCGCCCTTCCCTGCAAGCAGGGCTCAGGGCAACTTACAACAGAAACAAATACAATAAATAGTATAACTTAAAACCAACTATTAAAAATACCTAAAACATAACAGCAAGTAAAACAGTATGCAATCCAAGATGGCGGAAGAAAGATTTCAGCTTCCACAGGCCTCCTGGGGGGGAGGAGTTAATTTCTCGCTTTAAGAGGCAGGAGGGGTATGAGGCTACACTCAGTCCATTAATTCATTGCTGTACAATTCCATTAATATGGGGATGACAATATATATCTGAGGTAATCTGACTCCAGGAAGGATGTTTATTCCCACCCTCCACCCCCCTTTAGGTAAAAATACCTAAAACGTATCAGCAAGTAAAACAGTACACAATCCAAGATGGCGAAAGAAAGATTTCAGCTTCACAGGCCTCCTGGGGGGAGGGTTTATGGAGGGGGGAGGGGTGTGTGAGAGTGCCAGATTTCATGCTGTCCTGTCGCTGTCCCCAACCAAATGCCTGGGGGAACATCTCTGCCTTGCATGCCCTGCGGGAAGGCAGTAACTCCCACGCGGTGCAGATGTTCTCTGGCAGAGAGTTCCACCAGGCAGGGGCCAGGTCCAAAAAAGCCCTGGCCCTGGTTGAGGACAG